ACTATTTGAGGGGTTAGTATATAGATCTAATATTGTTACACTAACATGTTTGAAGTTTTGTGTTCAAAAATGCTGGAAAAAACCAAGAAAAACAAAAATGGTCAAGAAGTCTGGTTCCCTGACTCCACTAAAGATGAAATAGATCAATATTTATAGATGCCGGAAACTTGTAAGGTAAGGGAACCAGTCTAGCTGGCCTGCACCCGTTCATGAACATGTAACCAATAGCAAACAAAATTTGGACTGAAAACAAAAAGGTAACTTTGGAGCAGTAGTTGAAAAATAGTTAGGTTTTTTATACAAAAATTTATACAGATAGTATACCACTTTTCTTGACCAGGTGCCATAAGTTTACAGGATGCTTTAGACTGTCATTTACTAACATCCTAGTAAGGTATTTTGTAGTTTTAATTTTTGATGTTTGCAAATGTTGTATATTCCCTTTAACTACATGTATTTAAAACTTGATATGTTTTGTAACTACAACAGTAGTTACATGTACAAAGTATGTAGTGACGAGTTCACCATGACTCCCATCATGGAGGTATACATGGAACTCAGGAACTTGTTTCTGGCTATGTACACGTTCCTCTACGGTCATCCCATGGCCAGTTCTGTCCAGTTCCAAGAATGATGTCACCACTTGACCACCTGCTGACAAACCAGGGGAAAAATGGCCTGGTGCTCGAGATAACAACCCTATTGTTATATCCTGGTGTGAGTCATGAAACAAGACGTCCTGCCTTGACCTTTTAGAAACCTCACAAGGCAGGAGGGAAAAATCTAGAATTCGGGAAATATGCCAAATGATTACACATCTCGGGATACGGTTAAAGGGAAAATTGGTTCTGAGGTATTCTTGAACAACTGTCTTCAATTTTAGGTGGGCAGCTGCAAGAGGTAGGTAGATATATGCTCACACTGTTTTGAAGATGAACATTATGTAGAATTGTCAACACTCAACATGCAACAGGATGCTTTTATTCTTAACGCTAACTCCCTACCGTCTTTTACTACATGTAAGTACTGGACCAAGTCTGCCAAAATCCATCAATCACACTGCTTCCAATGCATGCTTTGCTTTAGGCCTCCAGGCCCAAGTCCATCATACTCCATCAATACTTAGTCAAACCAGGTCTGCACGACCAAGTCCCCCAAAATCCGCCAAAATAGGGGATGTATTTTGATAAAGTTGGGGCGGTTAGAGTTAATGTCTTGGACAAAGTTTAAAATCGTCTGAATGAGCAGTTAGCACCAAAAAATCAAACCGGGAGTGCAGGTTTTCATTGTGTGTGCATGAGCAAGTTCACCAAAGGACTTAGCCAGTCTAAACATCCTTCCCTTTGCAAAGTATAATGGTGATATTGGCCTGACCACAGGCTATGAGTCATAGCACAAAGCCCGGGGAGCACGGTGTTGTGTGTGTGCCATCATTCATTTCCCAACGTGCAGATTTTCTACTGCAATGCCAACCAGACCGCTGGGCTCTTGGAAATACAATTGAGAAAGATGACCAATGCTTTTGAGGTACAGTGCAGAGGAAACGTGATCTACATACCAGCCAGTGGCATGCTGTGGCCCTGATTTGGGTCACAAGAGAGGAAAAAAATTCCCACGATTTTGTAATGCAAAAAAGTTCTTCGAGTTGAGTAAAAATGTATTAATGTTTGAAGTTTATGGCAAAACTTTAAGAGAATGAAACTCACAATATTTGTGCAACAAAATTGCTATTGAACAAGAAAGGTGGTGAATTCTTTTTCATAAAACATTGTTGCAACATGGAAATGATAAGGAACATCTTGCAATAACATTTTGTGGTAAAAAAAAAAGCGACGAAGTATACATTTGAAATGGCGTGTTCATTTTCCAAAAAATTAAAATTAACTTGGTCCAATCCTGCATAGGATCTGGTAGAAAAGTACTCGCGAAATGATGTGTGCTAAAGGAATACTGCAGTTTTATCTACGAAAGGCTTCCCTTCTGCAAAGACGTTCGTCCTGCTTTTTAGAAATTTTCCTAAATTCACACAGAGATACAAGTGGCCAGAGTACATGTATCAAAATTGTACATATTTATTCTGTGGCAATTGGAACTGACAATTTTTCTCAATGATAAAGTTGTTCCAAGTGTGTTGAAATCTTTTACTATATTCCGAGTTATTAGATCCAGTTAGTATCGATCATTCAGTTACATATTTGCTACTCGAGTAATCAAAAACCACTTTGTGAAAATAAAGACTTCCTTTCAAAATGTCTTAAACCAAAAACCTCAAATATTTCATGTAACGCTGGATGATATATGGCATTAAAATATCGCCATAAATATGATGTTTGCCTTAAAAAAATGAGAATCACCTAAGTTAAACAAAAAAGTGAGATAAAGGTGATATAATTTTTGAATCATCGTTTTATTCTCAACCCCATTTTTCAAGAAAAAAATTAGGCAGTTGGGTTCATCTAAACCGTGATTGAAAATGGTATGATAAATCGATTGTAAGAACGATCGGTGCAGTTACTCTGAAAATATTTGGCTCTACAGAATACATTTTTAACTTCTTTTTTTCTCATTTCTTTAAAGAATTCTGGTGTTACTACCACTAAAGGGAAATGAATTCTAAATTTCTTTCTATATTGCTTTCATGGTTTTGTTCATAAGTCAACAATCTAGTAAAATACATGTACACATGCTGTACCTACTTCACAAGTTAAAAAAGGGTTCCTTAATTAAATTGCATCTGATTGCTTATAAAGGTATCAGAAGTACCGTAAATTTTACAAATATTTAGCCAAAATAACTTCCAGAAGTTGTAAGACAGTGTTAAAGACAAGAGTCTGAAATAAATGCAGACAGAGAAATAACTGAACTCTTCTTTTGTTTTAAATCTCTGTCAGCTGGATGCTCATCTTGTGCCAACAAAACTTGCTGCCAAGTCCAAATATGGTGAAATCAAACCCAAGCACCCTGGTATGATGGGAAAATATTGATGCTTACCTTGCTAAACGTAGTAACCAGAGAAAAGCTTGACAAAAAACTCCACTTCTTTCAAAAATATAAATCCAAGACAACTTGCAAGTTGAGTCAGTCCACGATAATACAATACACCATGCAGCTTATCACAAAACAACCTCCATCTGTTGGCTCTGATAATGACAATAGGCACCAGTAGTGGTGTGCGCTGTATTCATCCAAGGGATTCCCTCGATTTGTGTGTGTGTGTGGCGAGCGCGTGCACAGAGACTGCCAACACACAGGCTATTCAATGACACGGCCCAGTGGAAACAAGTCACAAGGGAAATGCCTCACTATTCCCCCACTTCCTATGATCTCATCGGCTCGTGAATAATGCATGAGGCAGGCTCGAGCAACCAATCAGGCGGCAGGGGGTCTTCCCTCACTGCTGGGTTGCCAGTCATTGGGCGTTTGCTGGGCCAGATCCTTTGCATGCGCCACAACAGAGTTTGTGATCAATGATTTGTCAGAATGGTGACCACGGCAACTCAGCCTGGCCTGTGGTCGGCCTCTATTTATCAGTAGAGTTTACCCAAGGACTGCCCGCTTCAGCAATTAATGAAGAAGTTGCAATGTACACGTGCATGTAAAAAATTGAGGCATTGAGACAATCAAATTTTGACCACAAATGTTTGCTCACACAGTGCACCATGGTTACAACAATACGGTGCATCATGCACACGTGTCACCAGTGATGATGCATGAACTATGCAGAGTTCCTGAAGAATTATTCACAAATATTCCACCAATCAGAAACTTACAATGGTTTATTCATTATTTAAAGTATACTTCATATTACATACATGTACACATGTACATGTACATGTACATGTATGAATGTACTACACATGTTCATGTACATTTCGATATCAGAAGTTTTTTTCAAGCACAAAAAAATGTATAGACATAAATTTATACATGTACATGTACATGTAACGGTACATGTACATGTACATCCATGTATGAAGTGTACACATGTACACTTTATTTCCATAGTAACACTTCCACAATAAATCATCCAGGAAGGAAGAAAACCCCCAAAATGGTAGCAAAATGACATCATAAACACTGATTCCAGATTGGTCCACAGGACACAGCTTATGATAATGCTAGTGCCATGAATATTCATAAGGCAAAGTGGAACCGGGAAATTCCCTGGAAAACCAAAATAAATCACCACACAGGTGGAAATGGTATCACGCAGCCGGCCAGAGTGTCATGGGAGGTTTACACAATCACACACAAAAAAGTCAGGAAATGGTTAACTCTCTATTATCAGGCGTCATTTCCTGCAAGATTTCTTATTATTTTGTTGATTTATTTACATGTAAATATGGAATCCAGATGCTACAATTGGAGATTGTCGTCCTGTAGAAACTAACAATTTGTTTACAGTTCTGAAAATTCTAACTTAACACATGTAATTCTTAACTTTGCAAATGTATACGAGTAATGTACATTATTTTGGCCTTCTTCAAGTAAAATCGTACATGTAGCTTGTTCGTGTAATTGTCTGTGTACTAAAAGGTATAGAGTAAACAGTGCTTCAAATTTTTTTACATGTAAAAAATATTCTTCCTGCAAATGATTTTACATTGTATACATGTACTGTACACGTACATGTACCGGTACATGTATGAACATTACATGTATAAAGCACACTGAGTATCACTATCAGAATGACAAAAAAATGGTACATGTATGTATGTAAAAACAACAAAAATGTACATGTGGGTACACGTACCGGGTTCTTTGTTCACTTTGCAAATATACTGGTACACGCCACATATTGCATGTTACATGTACGTAGGAGATCCCATTTCACAAGTTGAAACTTAACCGTATGTTGTTACTGTAGTTGCATTTGTACTGAATATGTACACTACATTACATGAAAAAGTGGCAAACGTAAACAGTTTAAACACGAAAACAATAAACATACATGTACCAGTATACATGTATTTCACACGGTATTCTCATTATCTACTCACTCATTAGTTCGTCACTCCGTGCTCCAAAGTTACAATCCCAAGAATTCCATTCAGTCTCACCACAGCATCCATCACACGCATGTGACCACTGCACTGCTGTAATGAATTCCTCCTTTCTCCAAGAAACCGACAAGGAACTGGGAGTAGGGTATATGACTCAGCCGAGAAATATGCCTTACCCCAAAAGATTGTAGCTCAATATGTGCACATAGTTAGTATACATCACAATGTGTGTGCAGGGAATAGGTACACTGCATGTATGAAGCAATCCAGATAGTGCTGCTAATACTCTTCAAACACAGCAGGACAAATTCTCCCTAATGACACCAATGTCTACTGATCAGAAAATGATGTCAAAACTTTTTCCTGAAATAAGCACGGCACTTGTGTTTTCACTATCAAAACTGAATCCCGATGTTCACATGATCACCAAGACCAATTCCTTCTGGTTCTAAGTATTTTTTCCCTCCAGGAGGAGAGGGGGGGGGGGGGACTGTCCAATTCAAAAGCCTTTTGCAAGGAACTTTGATGATTCAAAGATCAGCAATGCTACGTCAGGGAACACCCAGCACTATGGGAGAATGTTTGACGTCAGCACTGGGTACTAAGTCACAAGTCCTCAATGGATTTTAGGGTCCTGTAAAAGGCTCACAATGTCAACACAGCTCCACAGAGGGGTTTAGTTCCACTAGAACACACTGTGTGTACACAGGGACACACAATCCTAACCACAGGAATTTCATTGAGCCTAGTTTGACGTCATCGTTGAACATCATTGCACCCTTGTAGGAACACCACCAAAACTGGCCATTCACTCGTTGCCACACAACTTTGTGTTTAGTGCCATAACATTACGCAAATGTTCCTATTAAACAATTACTGTACAAAGATGCGGGTAAAACCACTTTTCTGACACAAAAGAATTGCGTGACAAGTTCGTGCAAAGTTGATTTTGAGTTCACCTTGACCTTTTCTATTTTTTTTAAAATAGATCTGAAACTGTTAACTGAAAAGAAGAATACGTACAACTTCGGTTATTTTTAGAAAGGTTCTCCCCACCCCATTCGCTTTTCTTTCTTTTTTCAGTTTCCACTAAAGAATAACAAAAGAGATTAGTAATTGTAAGTCACCATGCGTTTCCGATAGATATTGAGAATTTGTCGAGCTTTGACCAAATTTGGCAGTCAGAGACTAGACAAGCCAATGACATACTGGTGGACTATTTGTTTGTTGTAATAGTTTCCCACAATATTCATAGCATTGGTATTTGGTGTTTTACTAACAAGATAAACATGTTTATGTACACGTGTGTGTACTGAGGCTATTACATGTACATGTACATGTATTTAAAATTGGTGGAATTCCACCTTGAGGCAACTCCACGTAAAACTTTTCCCTCCTCAAAGCATAAACACAACCAAACCTGTTTCTTCTTGTGAATTCCAAGCCAAATATATCCCTTTCACAAAAATACTTTTCCTCAAAAGTCAAAGTCCACGCTAATACACTTAAAGGTATACTGCCAAATTATTATGAAATACCTTACTTGACTTTATGTATGTATGTATGTATGTGAATAATAGTCTCAAGCATCCTGTGAGATCATTCCACATGTATGGTGTGCTGTCATTTAAAAGAAAAGTGGAATTTTTGTATCAATTTCCAATGATGGTCAGCCGACCATCGTTGGAAAAAAAAACCTAACTTTTTTCAAATACTACCCCCAATCTACCCAATTTAGTTAGTCCAAGTTGTGTTTGCAACTGGTAACACTGTGAACGGTCGCAAGCCTGTGAGTCTGGTTCCCTGACCTGAAATTCCCCGACATCTATAAATTGCTCTGTGTCATCTGAAGTAGTGTCAGGGAACCAGACTACAAGAACAGCACTTTTTTCTTAGTCATTCCAGCATCTACGAACACAAAACTTTAAACAGGTCAGTGTAACAATATTTGCTAGAAAATACTAACTCCCAAATCTATCCATTTCTGAAAACTCCAGCTAATTGAAGCAAATGTTGTACACTACCTCTAAGACTTTTTCCACAGAATCTATAGTATCCTCTCGCCCACCCATGTCGAGCTCAACACGGGTCAACAGTGAGCAGAACCTGATAGTGTGAAAGGCCCTTTAATACACGTAAATGAAAGAACAAAACCACCCCAACCAAACACAGGTGAAAATTTACCCTAAAAAGTAAACCATGCTGAACTTAGGACAATTAAAGCCCAACGTAGCATTTCTTCGTAGCAAAATTCTCAAAATGGACACGTGTTCTCCTGAAAATCTGTATTCTCCAGGAACTTTGCAACGTTTCATTTTATTCAGGCTCTCAGCCACCAGGAACAATCACAGCTCCCTACATCCTGAATCATGACATCATCAAAGGAAACTCCGCAGAACTGACCAATCAGGAAGGGCATTCTAGAATCCTTTGGCAGAAATACAAGGTCACTTTCCAAAGTTCCACATTCCCAGAAGGCAGAAGCAGCCACCAAAAAAAAACAATAAATGGATCAGATTAGCGCTAGATCAGATGTTTGCATTCCTCAGAGAAACATGTCAATTTAGTTTTACAAGATGTGCAGTTCATAAATGTAAATTTAACAAAAGAGAGAAACTCATGACAAGTTCTAGCTAGCACCCCCTTCCTGCCTAGGTTGACTGTACCTCCTCTGATTTGCTCAGCTGTCAGTGGACCTGATTGGCTGGTTGTGCCCAGTGTATCATACTGACTGTACAAGTAGCAGGATGTGACAGTTTAATTACTTGTAAAGCTAGCTCAGATTGCAGGCCTACATTTAGGATCCCACAGCACGTGGCAAGTCCTGTCACAAGTAATCCTGCCAGTTTTAAGAGGATTTCGTTTCCCGTTGAAGATTCGGTCTGAGGTTCTGAACTCATGTAAAATAAAGTGATACCTGCAGCTGCGAGAATCTTTTCAAATTGGCAACCACTTATCATCTACGTCTTGCAATTTAAGGTGAATCGAAAATGTTTGGTTTAAACTCGCCAGAAAGGCAGCACATTAATCATGGAGTTACTTTATGAGGGGATATAAGGAACATGCACCAGGGATTATCAAATGCAAAAATAGTCAACTGAATGTACATTAATGGAATTGATGTTGGGGAGTGTGTCCTAGTGGTTAGGGTTTGTGACTTTTGATCAGAGGGTCAGGGTTCGAATCCAGCTGCTGGTCATACATTGTTTCCTTGGGCAAGCCACTTCATCCCACTTGCCTCTCTCCACCCAGGAGTATAAATGGGTACCTGCATTAGCTGGGGAGTAACCTGCCATGGACTAGCATCCCGTCCAGGGGAATAGAAATATTCTCAGTCGTTTCAAGCTTCTGAAACCAAAGATAAATGCCAGCCTGAAGGACCACATTGGCTTGTGGCATACTTTATTTGTTGATTCATGAAAACAAAACGTGGAGAGTATCGGGAAATGACCCTGAACAATTGCATACAATTGTATTTGTTTACAAGAGCATGAAGAGGGAAATGCTTACCGAGTAGCTCACAGCTTTTGTTTGCCAAAACTGATCTTCTTGCCAAACTGTTTCAAGACTTGTGATGCAAATAGAGGATTTACCACATGCTGGGCAAATAAATAGATGACATCATATAGTGATGTCATATCTGGTTAAAACCTTGCAGGGGAAACCCATTAAAGGGAATATACATCATTTGCTTTTGCTGTAATTTTCAGAAATGGATGGAATTGGGGGGTTGGAAATATAAAGCAAATATAGTTACACTCACTTTTTGGAGGTTTTGGGTTCGAAAATGCTATAAAAACCAAGAAAAACGATCATTTTCCTGTAGTCTGGTTCCCTGACTCCATATAAGAAGAAACAGAGCAGTTTACATACATTGGGGAATTGTAAGGTCAGGGAACCAGTCTATCTGGCTCGTACCCGTTCATAGGTTTGTAATCGATTGCAAACAAGTGCAATGGTCAATTGGGGCCAGTATTTGAAAAAAAGCCAGTTGTTTCCAACGCTGATCGGCCGATCAGCGTTGGAAATTGATACAAAAATACCACTTTTCGTGAAAATGACAGTATACCAGGTGCCATAATTTTACAGGATGCTTTAGACTGTCATTTACCAACATCCTATTAAGGTATTTCGCAAAAACTTGGTAGTTTTATTTTTCGATGTTTGCAAATGTTGTATATTCCTTTTAATGATTTTTTTTTTTTTTAAATAAGTGGCACACTTTCTTTATGATGCAATATTAAAATTACTGTGTGTTGTGCAATATCATGCCTTCCTTAAAAAGTATACATGTTTAGTGTAGCGCTTAATGCATGTGGCCACTTCAAACTCTTTGAACTCTTTAGACTTTCATGTACAATGTTTATATGGTATCATTCTTCATTCAGCCTGCAGCAGCGTAAAACAGCCCTGCTTCCTATTATACAACTTGCGCTGAAGACACACAGATGGTTTCCCCTTACACAAGCATGCCCTCAGGGCAAAAAGATTAAAAATTAAACGCAACCCCTTGCACGCGTGTACACGTACTCAAGCTTTTCAGGATAGATACATACATTTTTAAGCGCATCACTTCTCTACATATTTAGAAGAGGGTCCACAAATAACTATTTTAAGTAAACAACATTCCCTGGATTGTACCGATATCCCTGTCTGGAAAAGCTTTTCACTTTCACAATGAACAGGAACAACAGAGCATTCTGTATCATCTAGGTGCCTAGAATTGTCATTGTTAGACAGTTTTTGTTGTGACAGTGACTAATGTTGAAAGTGAAAGAGCGGCCAACTTTGGTTGGCTTCTTTTGCAATCCTTCGCTTTCTCAACAGCATTGTAAAACTGAAAGATGGTCACAAGACCAGGGTTTTGGCTAGTCACACCACAGCGTACTTATGAAATACATGGCTGGGCTACAATGCCGCATTTTGTAGGAAAGCTTGTCCGTTCAGGGCAACCTACTGTACAGGGTGAGTAAAAAAAAAAAAAAAAACCCAAATGTCGGGACCATTGTTTTAGTGAAGTTCTGCATGTAGCACTTCAATCTAGAGGATATGAAAGCCCATTTTTCATAAGCTTTCTTTTAGTACAAGAATCATTCAAATCACTCATGTACTTTTGAAGTTACAGAATTTTTAACACAACCACCCTTTTACACTTCAGTCCACGTATCAATAGAAGGTAAGTGTTCTTTCAGCAAAACGATTTCAAATCACATAAGGATGTGTGTGAATTGTTTCGTTTTGCTGACAAAACTCTCACCTTTTTTTGTGATCCATGCACAGAACATTAAAACGGTGGTTGTGTTTAAAATTCTGTAACCTCAAAAGTACAAGAGTGATTTGAATGATTCTTTTACTAAAAAAAATGAATTGGGCTTTCAAATCCTACATTTGAAAGTGCTACATGCAGAACTTCACTAAAACAGAAGTCCCGA